GGGGGTAAAAAAAAAAAAACGGTAACCTGGTTGCCGAGTCCACGAAGTGAATTAATTGGCTTGTTTTACAACGTCGTTGCCAAGTGACGAAAACCAACCCCGGTAGCAAACACCGGGGGGGCGGCTTGTTTTACAATGTCGTTGCCAAGCGACGAAAACCCAACCCCGATGGCAAACACCGGGGGGGGCGAAAAAGTAGGGGGGGTAGGATTTTCCACCATTCGACCCCCCCCAGGAAATGTGCTGCAGCACCTGTAGATCCTAGATCATCAACAGCGGTCTGCTGCAGCCGCACACTGCGTGTGGGTGTATGGAAAGATTCATGCCATATGCTAGCGGTTCGTCTGCTGCCGGCTTGAAGCCATGCAGCGAACCGACGTGCCAGTTCAAATCTGCACTGGTGTCACTGGTTCATCAGTGTCCGTGCGGGCGACCTATACACGCGTTTTGTGGTCGGGGCATCGGAGAGGACGGCCACGGACAGCAGAGAGAGTGCTCGTTTTGGCCTTTTGGGAGGCGCGGTGTCCTCTTTGTCGCTGTGCTTTCCCGACACTTTTGGTCGCTGTGTTTCTGCGTAACCTACATTTTCCTAGTGTCGTTTTCAACTTTCGATATTTCTCAGGTGCGGTAGCGAGATCTTGGGCAAGATATTCACGGGGGGGACAACGCCTACAAAATAAAATAAAGCAAATAATGAAGCCCATATCAACACCAGCGCACTACCGTCGTGTACATGTACGATGCGTAGGTCGTAGAACACCATCGCTTTCAGCGTTTTGGTGGTACAGTACGAGGAAATTCAAACGATGGTATGCAAGTATGTATTGCAGCACAATAGCACCAGTGGTTGCGACCTTCAACTCACCTTGTGTCGTAGGTTTCAAACAACACTTCTTGTGGTCGCCTTTCTGCTGCGAATGCGCACCTTTTTACATATGTTTCGCCTTCATTGGCCCCGGGGATGGTGCGTTAGTAGCCCCGGAACTTTAAAGAGACTTACCCCGCGCTTCAGGCACTTTGTGGGAAAACGTGGTGTGTCCTTAAAGCGGGGTCGACTGTATACCAACGCCTTGTGCATTTTTCGTGCGACCAACAACAAGCAAACCCTTGCCCATGAACACAGATGGGTTTGCTTCGTTGAAAACAAAAAGAATAAGACGAGATCTCTTCGCTGGGTGGGTCTTTCGGGCGCTTGAACATGGGTGGTGGGAGGTATGCATATGTACATGACGAACGACAATGACCAATCGAGCAGGTAGCGGCCGAACAACAAATCAGCTGACGTTCTTCACCACTTCCCTCGCCGAGACCCGAGCAACACTACTGCTTGTACATGTAGCGGTCGAACGATCACCTGACGTGCTTGACCGACTCCCTGGCCGACTCTCGGGCAGACCTTGCCGCGGCGTGAGCGGCCTTGTTGGCCTGCTTCGCCTCGTCCGCGGCCAGGCCGAAGACACCGACCACGCCCTTGGCTGTGGTGTCGATGCTGCCGTACACCCCGCGGGCGATCTTGTTCTCCAGGTAGTCTCCCTTCGTCTCCAGGCCGCTACCGCCTCCCTGTAACAGTAACACCGTAGTCACCGACCCATGAAGTATGACGAGGGTTAAAATACAACGGTTGTTGTGACAAGCGTTAAACTTGAAATAAGGTTGTGTAATCCTGCGGGAACGAACCAACCATTGCTGTTGCTCCTGCTGTTTTCAGTGCACATCACGCTGAGGCCTTGCTATGTTCCCGAGCGCCTGGCTAACCACACACCCCACACCACCTGCCAACGGTGACGAAGCACATGCACATGATGGCACACACAACCCTGCTACACAGCAGTCTTTTCTTCACGTGGGTAGAGAGATTCAAGAGCGGAGGGTATCCCATCGACACGGACCATAAAGTTGGCATCTTTAGGGAACCCCCCCCCNCCCCCCCCCGTCAAGTACCGAATAGACTACATGCGGTAGCTGCTTCATGATACTCAACCCTAACCTTGCCCCAAAACAACACCGGTTGACGTGCGGCGAGGCCAGTGCACGGCCGTGGATAGGTGGCAGTTAGAGCACTATATACTAGGGTAGCGTGATCGTGCTATAAATGTCGGGAGTGAGTGTGTATTTCCGATATGGAGACGAGACAACACGGACACCATCGATGGACCAAGCGGTAGCGGTGGTTGGTGCGGTGGTTTCACGTTGATTCAGATTCATCTTCACTTTGTTCTATATAATAGATGAGAGGGAGTGCGTCGCTTTTCGCTTTACGCGTACAACACTAGGTAGGTGCAATGTCAACGACCAACACAACCAACCGGAGACTGCTGTTCGAGGTTCCTCGCACTCTGTCGGAGAGAGAGAGAGCAGAGCAACAATGAACACGACGGTCAAAATACACGCATCGCCAGCTATCTGTTGTACAAACCGCTCTCTCTGTCGCATTTGTGTGTCTTTCGTTTTCGGAAAACGGGAATTCGAAAAGTTGCAGCCTCAGATCCATCTCTCAAAACGCCGTCGCATGTGCTGTGCACCTACACTGATCTAGACGAATGAATGATGTAGCCGAGTCAGCAGCTTCGATACGATACGTGCATGATGATGTTCCACGGCGGCAAGCGGTCATGACCATACGAGACCGACGACGCATTATTAATTGAAATCTGTTGCTTCACGTTCTTCATGACTACATGTAATTCTTCTCACTTCTTTGGTCCGCAACCGCCTCCACGGTGCTCGATGCAACATGTCAGAAGAACATGATCTCGCTCTAAACCGCTGTATATGATCGTCTCAGCATACTCACCCGCTGCTGAAAGAACACGCTTACAAAGATAGCCAAGGCGCGACGTGCAGTCAAGCTCGGCGTGCGACTTCACGTGCCCTGTGCACACATCAAGGCGATCCGGGCTACCGATTGAACAGTAGAATACCGCCCATTATCGTTGCCGCCAGAGTGACTTCCTCTTCGGGCAGTACCAGGAATCGGGAATGATTGTCGAAAACATCTAGAACTGGTCACACGCGCCCCATCCAGTTTACAGCACGATAGAGCGCGCGAGCGGTACAACTTCAAACTGCCTTAGACAGAGCAGCAGCAGCACTTTCCTGCTGCACCTCAGGGCTCACACACACGCACACCCTCCACCGGCAGTACCGAGCGAGGCCCGAGGAATTACACGCAACAAAAAGGTCGTGACCTGCTGTGCACACTCTGCACCGCCCTTGCAAAAGATTAGCTGCTGCAGCAGCAGGGTCTTTCCGCTGTACCCGACACCTCTCTTCTCCATTTGATAACGCACCTGAAGGGAGTAGACAGGCGATTCCGGCACGTGAACCGCGGTACTCGAAGCCGCCAGCCCAGCTATCAAGCATGCTGCCCTCATCGGTGCCATATTCACGCCAAAAAGAGTAGTTTTGGGAGACGTGTAGAGGCGTGGGGAAGGGGACGGTATGGCAGGATGGGATTGATAGGATAGGCAGCAGATGGTGTGCGGTGTTGAAATTGGATTCCCAAAAGGATCTTTCGATCAGAACGCCACCCTTCGTATTCGGGGATTCATCTCGTTGTCCCCGGCTGGGATTTTCGTTAATTAATTGCATTAATTGCTCATCATGTGTGCATGTGCTCTGTGGACGGCGTTGTTAAGCAATCTGGGTGTCACTTTACTGCTGTAGTCTAGATACCGTTGCTCCGATTTGTAGCTTGCTCTTCGGCCTTTTTAATTAACTTTCGACCGAATATTGCGTGCAATCATGGAATGAATATTTTTCAGTCGGGTGCAGTGGCATCAAACTTTTAGTAGGAGAGGTCAACTGCTGTACACTGACTCCTGCTGTTTGCAGTACGTACATACAGGCACAAACCCAACAATATTATTACTCCATCGGGTATTTTTGCGGGATAAAGACGATGCAATAACTGCTGTTGTGGACAGCCGTTCTCACCTTCCTCGTCTCTCGGGAAGGGCGGGGGGGGCGGGGGGCAGTCACTCTCGGCACTGCAAATACCCCAAAGTCACATTTCGGCCTAAATAGCGTCCCATCGAGCGCACCCCCGCACCTTGCTTATAGCGCTCACTCAAGTCCAATGTTGCACGCTCGTGGTCCCAACCTCCCTCTCTCCCGATTAGCAATGCCCCAATGTTGCAGCAGCCTTCGACAGGTGTAGTGTGTGTTTTGGCGGTTGGCTGTGGTGTAGACTGTAGTACTTCTCTCTCTCTCGTCAGGCGAATGATCGCTCCATCAGCAACAACCACCGTTGATGCCCAGATCGACAGCTCGTCGCGAACGGCGAGAGAGACGGTATGCCATACGCGCGCTCGTGTAACCGTTATTGAACGACAGCGAATGGTGTCACTCCTCAGAAGAGAGGACGCGGTGCGAACCTTAACGTTTTCCGTCTCATCTAGACACATCTATTCCGGGAGGTACAAGCACCTTTTGGTACATGCTTGACGCACCAGCCGGGTTCACTCAAAAAAGAATCCTCGATCACCCACGACGCTTGCGTACAATTTTGGGCTCCGCAGTCTCTTCTCTCTTTGTTGCAGGTAACTCATGGCTACAACCCGTATGCGTTTCACGCGTCTAAATTGCGAGTTTTTTTCCAAACGACTCGAACCCATGACCTACAACCAGAAGGTGGCACGAGAATATACGAATTGAACCACTTCAGCCACCATTGTGTGCCGCGCGCATCCATCTAAGCAAAAAATATAGTGGCTTAAAACTCATCATCCACATGCTCAACAGTCCTTCTCCGACAATGCACATCATGTTGGATTGAACCGTGCCCCAAGTATCACATCGCCAACCACGCACACATATTGCGGACACAAAACCAGACACATGATGTTACCGTACAAATCTAAAGTAGTTCGAAGAAACGTGAATCCCTACTTTCTCGAGTCGTGAGATAAGACAATCTTGATCGACATCGTCAACCTGGGCGTGCTATAACTACGCCCGCCCGAGACCAGCTGACGCCATCGATCTCGTGAGGCACAGATCTCTCTTGAGACAGATCTATTGAGATGAGATTGATGCGGCCACCTGAGACAAAGACTAATCGTAATCCCTCGAGCTCAGCTTGCTGCGGCCAGCCTTGACCTGCGGTCATCCAACGGGGTAGAGGGGCCGGCGAGGAAGGCGGCATTTCGAGGAAATTAGGAGGCGGGATTTCAACCACCCAGTTCAGGGCAAACAAAACATTGCAGACATCTGCACATATGCTGAAACTTTGAAGCGTTCGTAGCTTGGCATCAGTACTTCACGACCTCCACATGGAAATAAGAATCTCGTTTCCCAAGCGTAATCTACGACCTCCACATAAGAATCTCGGTTCCCAAGCGTAATCCTGGAGCCAGTGTCGCCGCGACCACGACACTGGCCACACACCGCTAAAGACGACGGCGACAGACCTTGAGGTCCATGGAAGCCAAGCCTGGTACCTCTATGCTCCCACAGGCGCAGCGATACACACACCCGACGTTAGTCCCCTCCCCCCGAACACCCTGAGCAGGATGAAGCACACCCTTCATGCGACTCGCCGAATACCTCACGGCGCTTCGCGCTTGGTGATCTGAGAGTCTGGTCCGGTGAGAACCCGGCGTGCTCCGTCCCGGCCTTGAAGGGATGCCAGGTCAATGCTCTAACGACTACGGCATGCACGACTGCGAGTACGTCCTCCCCCCCCCCCCCCNGCCCGTTTAGTGATGTGCTAGCCTGGCCCGGTGAAAACCCGGCGTGCTCCGTCCCCGTGTTGTAGGGATGCGAGGTCAATGGTCTAACCGCTAAGGCATGCACGGCTGTGAGTACACGCACACACACACCCTAGTCGATGGAACAAACGCGTACGGCTTGCCTTCGATCTGTGGAGTTTATCTTGCTTGCGGATGGCTTTCCCTTTCTTGCTAATGCCGGTGCGCATCTTCCTCTCCTTCGCCGGCTCCCACGCCTCGTTGATCATCTCTCGCAGCTTTGCAAGCGCCTGGGATCGGTTTTGCTTCTGCGTCCTGTTTTCCCGAAGGGCAACAAAAGGAGTAGTGAACCAACCCGCGACACACAAAAAGTACACCGCAGGCAATCCACCTTAGGGGCCGTTCAAAACGTGAACAGAGTACGCTTTCGTGCTATTATACAAGGCTGCCTTTCCTTTCCCAACTGGCTTATCGCTGCGGGCGACAACATCCGACATGAGCTAATGTGCGAAACGATCGAAAGAACACCGGAAACGAAAGTTAAAAGAAGCATCATGGAAAACCACGGTACCACGGGATTTCGAATGTCAAGGGCAGCCGAGCGACCGCATCAGTCAAAATGTTGTGGCCCGCCCGAATACCTTAGCGCGTGGCCCTGGGCTTCGTAAGAAATGAAAGACCCGAGCAGCTGTTGCCCACGTTTGAGGTACTTACGACAAGCAGCTGCCGGATACACGTCCAAAACAACATGCAACACAATCATCACTGCTGCGTGTGCTTTCGAAAAAGAAAACTCTTGCCTGAACTCTTGCGCCGTCACGACCAGTTCCCCCTTGTTGTTCATCCTCCCTTTCTGTTGACGCGCCAGCCGCAGTCGCACGTCATACGGCAACCATTCCGCCTCCGAAACAACGAAGCGCATCTCCACCTTTGTGCTAACCTTGTTCACGTTCTGCCCGCCCGCCCCTGATGCCCTTGACGACGAAGATGGAAAGCGGGCGTCGGGCGGGGTATTACGCCTTTAGCCTTTATCCATCCAATCTTCCACGATACATACTTTCAGCGTAAGCAAGACTCTACATGTCATCGATGGGGGTTGGTAATAGTAGCGCGTATCTTGAGCCATTATGAATCTGACCTTGTGCACTCTAGGCTGTCACGGAGGGGACGGCGCCTGACACAATCGATGACGGGCTTTATATATACACAAGATTCATGTGTGCGGGTTGGTCGCACGATTGCTATGCTCTCTCTCTCTCTCCCTCTCTCCTCTCGTTGGATCTTGATATTTGGATTGACCAAATGGGAGAACGCCCAGACAGCAGGACCCCAAACATCAGGCGGAGAAAGTTCCAAGAGCAAGATCTACCTCGTGAAGGTAACCTGCAGCTGGTCCTCAGGCACCTCGCCGAAGCTCTCGGGTCGAGGGGTGTACGGCCGCCTATCGTGCAGCCCTGCATGGAAATGATGGCGTGGGAGAGAGGAAGGAGTGAGCGGGGGGGGAAGCGTAACCGTTGTAGGGAGTGCCATACATACACGTACATGGTACTCAACATCTTCATGTGCTTACTCGTGGTGCCTGGATCTTCGGTACTAATGGGCGTGATCCCACGCGGGAAACTACTGCTGTAGTGCCGGTGTTCCTGTTGTCGTGCTCGCGGGGAAAGGAAGAGGTTTGGTTCGCGTGCGAATTATGCAAACTCTATCTGGGTATATTGTAGCAGCCGTGCACGTACACTGACGAATCATCTACACGTACAAGTGCGTCTGCTGGTCCCACATCTCAAGATTCTCGTTTCGTATGAACCGTGAAGCGCGAACGAGACTGATGTGGCGACTATCGGTTCCAAACCATCCCGTACTTTGATCTGTCTCTGCTAAAGTACCCCGGTAGCGCAAACATGCGAGTGGGGTCGTCCGGTGCATGCAGTGATTTGCATCAACAAGCGGAGGAAGGGATAGACAAACGGATAGATATTGGTGGCATATTCCACCACCGCGCGCCCGCCATGCATCTACCTACAGCAGTAGAGTGTGGACCAAAACAGGCAAGTAGACCCGGAATGGCTGCTGCTGCTGCTGCTGCTGCTGCTGCTGCTGCTACTTCAAATCCGTCAGAGTAGACTATAGAGTTCAGAGTCGAACCGAAGCAGCACATGATGACTGCGGCGTCACCTCTTGCGATAGTGCCCCTTCCGCCTCTCCCAGCTCCTGCTGACACAGCTGCCCCCCTCCCTCCGGCAGACGCCTGACCCCGGCCTCTTCCCCCCACCCCTTCCGCAGCACCGATGCCCCATGGCACCGTCCTAGGACTCGCGGCAGAACCACCCTCGGGGCCTGAGCTGAGCCTCTTCGCGCCTCGCGGCGAGCTTGTTGCACTTGAAGAAGCATGTCGAGGCGTCCTCTTGTTGCTGCTGCCAGCGCTTTTCTTGGGGCTGCCGCCGCCCGTTCCAGACCTCGCCGCAGCCATCGACAGCGGAGCTACTAGCGCTCGGAGTTGTGCTGCTACTTGAACGGGCTGGTGGTGGTTTTCGCAGGTGTTGCTCCAGGTGGTACGGGCAAGGAGACCGCGCGATGACGGTGGTACTGATGCTGGAACGGACGGGGTGAAGGCGGGTCGGCTGCGCACGAGCATCGTGGAGAAGGGTGTCGTGAGAGACAGTCCTCTTCTGCTAGCGAAAGCGAGGCTCATGATGGCCCTGCTTCTTCCTCCACGCATGAGCGGGTACGGAGAGCGTCGGTCTGTGTGCGTGCAAGCATGCAGTGTGGTGAGTGTTGCGGCTGCTGCCGGTGTCGGGGGGTGACGCCATATCCGTTGCATACAAGGAAGAGGGGGAGTTGCTGAAAACAGACCGGCTCTTTTCCCGTGTGGTGTTGTGGTGTTGACTCGGGGTTTGTGCTTGTTGCACCCATCCACAGCAGCAGCCATTATGGCCAACCTCGTGCCCACCCTTACCTACGTTCCCTTCGAGGTAGCTCGAACCTGCGAGGGAACTCCCGGCACAAGAGCAGCTAGGGCCAAGTGCGAGCAACTAACCGCGGCGATCGCAAACGCGGTGAACAACGTGCCCGAGGACGATGTGTTGGTGAGATCATGCGGGCAAGCGCGCTGCTTGCGCGAAGTATGCAAGGGCCAGAAGAACATCGAAATTCCCTTGACGTGTTGGTTTTGATTTGACTGGAACGGTCGCACATCGTTTCAGCAGGCAGTATATCTTACTACTTTTGCATTCTGTCCACGCACGTCGATTTGAGGTTTGAATTCAAAATTTGAAAACCTGCCGTTGGACATTTGTCTTTGATGTTTCACTGCATGCGCTCGGGGCTGCAGACAAATGACGGTCGGTACTCGGTAACAAACCGTGTTAGATGTTAAATGCTGGTTTAATATGCTACAGAACGTGTTGTGCATGAATGCGTCCACCTTTCGAAATTGTTTTTTCAACTCTTGGTGCTCGCAGTGTTAGAACATAGCCATGTGCAGGGCCAGGGATAATTTTTTTTTTTCTCCCATCATCGGATTCTGTCGTCTGCCCCTCTGGCCCCTATCCTCCACTTCTACTAGCTAGACGACCCAGCCGGGGTCACATAGCAGGGGGGGGCTGGGCCCCCTCCTGCGGTTCCTGCCTGAGGTATTTTTATCGCGAGAAGGGTACAGCAATCCCTTCCCTCTCGACTTACGAAGTCGATTATGGTTTACTAACAACGAGCTTTGCAACGCGTCGCTTTCATCCTAGACCAGGATTTATTTATTGAGAAAATACTCACTCTCCTGGGACTCGAACCCATGACCTGGCCCTTAGAAGGCTGCGAGGTTACCCACGAGACCACCGGGGCGACCGTAAGTAGCCGATTTGGCCACGCGTGGATTTCTGGCGGAGGGAGACAGAGAGAGAGAGAGAGAGAGAGAGAGAGAGAGAGAGAGAGAGAGAGA